CCCTCCAAAACCCACGGCAGCGACTGCTGCCGCCCGGCCCCCAGACCTTGTGAGCCTGTCTGAGGGCTCTGGGTGCACTGTCCTCCTCCTCCTGGGTGTGAGCCTGGTTTTCCCGGAGGCCTCAGCATCTTGGGCGGAGCCGGGAGCCCAGAAGTTGTTGTGAGTGGATCGGATGCCGCAGACGATGTGGCCTATGCCAGCCTGCCTGTGGCTGATGAGTGTGGGTGGCCTGATGGCGCCTTCCTGCTCAGGCGGCAGCCCGGCCCTAGCAGAAATCTCAAGGGGAAGGCAGGGATAAATCGCTGCGAGGCCAGGCGGGATGCACCGGACAGACGGCAGCCTGACCAGCAGCTGTTCTCGTAGAAGTTCCCTTCTGTGCAGACATGGGACACTCCGCAGGCAGGCAGACCCATGCCCACCTGCCACCTTGGCCATGCAGGTGGGGTGACCCTTGTAGGGACAGTACCGCAGGAAGGAGTGACGAGCCAAGGCCCAGCGGATGGGCTCTGACCAGCGGCCTCGGGGAGTGGCAGGTGCCCGACCTCTATATTAGGCCCGGGCTCCGCAGGCTCTGCACCTCCGCAGGTCTGGGCGAGCATCATGCCCACTTCCCAGTCTTCTGGAAAGACTGGCGTTTTAGAGCCATCTAGTGTCAGGTGTGGGCCGGGAGGTGCGGGGGTTGTGGTGTCCGGGACACCTGCGGGAATGGGCGGATGAGGCTGCACAGGCCTCCTTGTCTGTGTGCCCTGCCCTGACTCAGGCCTGGTCGCCAACTGCGCTGCTTTGCAGTAGGCAGCACGCTCTGTGGGGTGGGCGCGGGTGGGTCAGTTCAAGAGGTGCCCGGCATGGGGGAGCCACGTGGGGGCTCTGGGCATTTTTACAACCAGTGCCCTTGCAGGCATATTGTCTGTGGTGGATGCACTTGGACGGACTGTGTTTCCTTCTCGATGGAGAGCGTCCCCTGGGCCTCTGCTGGTGCCCGTTCAGTCCCAGTGTGGCTGGGTGTGACCCGCGGCCACCCACGCCATAGGAAACTGCCCGCCCACCCATCGTCCCTGCTCCAAGTCTAGCTGCCGTGTGATAGCAGCCCCTGCCTCCCCCCCCCCCCCCGTCACCACTGGGGCCCCAGTCCCCACTCAGCGCGCGTGTTCCTCTCCTGGTCCCCCATGACCTCCATGTCTCATGCAGAGACGCAGCCGGTCAGGGCTGGCAGAGTCTGGGTGAGGGTGGCCAGTCTTCAGTCCTGTGGGATGTGGGAGCCTCTCCACTGCCCCTTCCCCAGCTCCCTCGATGGCGTCAGCTGTCCTGTGTGTGTGAGCCAGAGGGCGCACGCCCCTCCCCCACCCACGGGTCTGGCTCCAAGGAGAGTCGGCTCACCCAGGAAGAGGCTCCGTCCTGTGCTGCCTGCCCGTACCCGGCCCATCCCCTGGTCGTGCGGCTCCTCGGCCATGGGCTTATGTCAGCAGCCCACCCTGCAGCCCCCCCGACCTGAACCCTCCCACGTGCTTGGGGTTCTGGACACAGAGGGCCTCCCGTGGGGGGCAAGTGACAGGTTGCGGGATGGTTTGGTGATGGCGAGCTTCCTGCTCTTGGAAACTTATTCCTTCGTGTAGCAAAATGGGCCCTGTCTTTGTCCCCGACTTGTCCTCCAGGGTGCAGGGGGCACGTGTTCCAGACCCGCTTCTCACTGGGGCGTGACGCACACGCTGTCCGCCACAGCGCTCCCTCTCTGCCTCTGTGCACGCTTCTCAGCAACTCCGTGCCCTGGGTGGGGACAGCCCTGTGTCTCTGGCTCGGCACCTCGGGGGTGGGGGGTGCCCCCCCTCCCGTCGCCCCCATGGGACACATGAGTTGTCGGTGTCTGTCTCGTTGAGTGTGATGGGTCCCCTCGCATAGTGTGGGCTCTCCAGCCTGGCCGGAGGGAGGGTGCCAGAGCCTCCCGGCCTCAGTCCCTGGGCGGCGTTTTCCTGACGGCTGCCCCAAGGCGGGACTCCCTCACGGAGATGTGGGCGAACACTTGGTTCCTGACACAGGGTTGACTTTCCTCCAAGTCGGGTTTCTGCCAGCTCCTCTGGTTTCCCTGCATCTCTGCAGCCCTCTTGGGTCTCCGTCATAGTTGTGCCATTTCCGAGCCCCGCGTTGTGCAAGGATTTGTGAAGCACGCCACCTGCATCTCTCTCTCGCAGGGACTGGGATGTTGATCGGGGCGCCGAGCATCTTGGATCAGCGTCGGCCTGTTCATCATGGTCTCTGCACCCCTGCTGACCCGCGTCCTCGCAGAGACCGTGGTGAAGTGTCTGCACCCATCTGCAACGTCCTGGCGTGGGGCCCTCTCTGCCACCCAGACTGCCCCAGGGGTCACCGCTCCTTTTCTGCGTGCGACTTGCTTGCCGGGTCTAAGTGCGGGAGCTTGGCCGACACCTGGCGTGCCCACGGGCAGTCTCAGCCCTGCACTTTCCCCCGTTCCTGGCTGACCTCACAGGGGGCCGCACCCAAGGGCCGTGTGGGGATGCTGGTGCCACCGCTGTGCACACAGACACACCACAGCATGTGGGTTCACCCCTTGCAGTTTCCGATGTTCGCCACCGCAGATCAGCCAGGCCCACGTTCCGTGGTTTCCCGTAAACGCATTCATGGGGTGGGATCACTGAGCGAGAGGTGACGCCCGTTAGACTTCAGGCAAAACCCAAATCATTTTGCAGAGCGGTTTCCTAGTTTTTATGCCCGCCATCTGTCCTGACTCCTGGGATTGCCTGAGTTCTCTGTTTCTGCCAGTTAAATGGGTACAGAGTGGTAATTTGCGGCGGGCCTCAATTGGCATTTCTTGGTTTCTAGCGGAGTTGACGGCCTTTTATGTGTGCTCGTTGGCACAGGTGTTTTGTCCTCTGGGAAACGTCTGTCTTGTGTCCTTTTCTGTCACATTGTTTTTCATTACTGCTCCGTAGCTGTTTTGTGTCCACTGCTGGCACCGATCAGGTGGGCAAGATGGGGAGGCCCTGGGGTGGGGCCAGACGTCATCCCTAGCATGAGCCCTGTAACCGACCCCCTGGGGGGTGTGGGGGCCAAAGGGGCCACACTGCCCCAGGCCCTCTGCCTGGGGGGTGGCATGTGTCGGCTCCCCTCTCCCTGATAAGCCACTTGCAAATGCCAGCCTGAAAGAGCAGGTGCCGCTCCCGGGTGGGCTGCATCCTGGCTCTGCAGAGTGGATCTCGGTCTGTCCAAGTGAGTGTGTATGTGGTCTCCCTCGGGGGGCCGTGAGTTAACAAATAGGCCACCACAGTCCGGATGTTGCCTTTCGCTCCTCTCCTGGCCGTCCTTCAGACATCACACTGCCTCCACACTCAGGGCACCCCGTGGGGTCCCAGCGTCCAGCTCCTGAGCATGCAGGGAGGCGGCTGGTGGTGCTGGGTCCTCGGGCTGTGGGAGACCTCCATCTAGTCGTGACAATGTCTGTGTGCACCCACCAAGCCTCCCCAGCACACCCCGCCAGCCCCGCACCTGCCCACCCGTGCCCCCCACACACACCTGGTGGCTGCTTCCATCCCTCTGTGCCTGGCCTAAGGTGAGGCTGAGGCCGGTGGGCTGTGAGGAGCCACCTCACGGGCTCATGGGGCTGGGCATGAAGCTTAGCGCTCAGTCTAATGGGTGGTGTTTAATTTTGGGTTTCCGGCTCGGTTTTGTAGCTGGGGTTGGAGCAGAGGTTCCATTGCTGTGGGGGTGATCGCTGTCCTGCTGTGTTCGTCGTGTTTTCAGTTCCGCTACTGGCAATGTTGCTCACGTGGCTTGCAAAGTATTGACGAGCTTTCAGCAGGAGTCCTGGCCTCGTCGGTGGGTTCGCGTGTCGGAAGTGGGTGTGCTGGGGAGGCTTGGTGGGTGCACACAGACATTGTCACGACTAGATGGAGGTCTCCCACAGCCCGAGGACCCAGCACCACCAGCCTCCTCCCTGCATGCTCAGGAGCTGGACGCTGGGACCCCACGGGGTGCCCTGAGTGTGGAGGCAGTGTGTGACCTCTGCATGTCCGCCGCCTGTCACTCCGGGAGGGCCAGGGTTTCCTGTCTGTGGGCTGCTCTTGTCCCTGCTCTGGGTCAGGCCATTCCTCGGGGTGGCACAGACCCTGTGACTTCCACCTCAGCACCGGTGTCCCTGGCGCTTCTGCGCTGTGGTGGCTGCTGGCACGTAAAATAGGCCCCACTACTCGTTTGCTGCATCTGTTTTCACTGGGTTCTGGGAAAGGTTGTGTGACCATTTCTGTCCCTGGTGGCGTGTCCTGGCCTGACGCTGCTTGGGAGCATCTGTGCGGGACCCCAGGCAGGCTGCACACACCGTGCTCATGGCATCCAGGCCTGGGGTACACGGGAGCAATGAGGGCTTGGGTCTGGTGGACTTCGGCCCTGGGCTGCTCTGGACTTCGGTCTGCTGCCCGCTCCGTGCTGGCATCTGTCGGGATGTAACTTGCCAGCTGGACTGGCCAGGCTGGAGGGCGGCCACCCCTGAGCTCCTGCTGGGTCGCTGGGACCTGGCCTGGCACTGCCGTTGGCCCTGACGGTCAGGAACCTCCCTTGCATCTCTGTCCTGGGTGGGCCAGGCCCCCGGGGAGGATCCTAGAGACCCGTTTAGGGGACCATGGTTGGGGGGCGTCAGGGGTTTTCCTAGATATTGGCCCTGTCAGGAAAGTCACCCTCAGGGCTTCTTCCAGAAGGGGAGCTTGCCGTGAGGACGTGCATTGCACCCCTCTTGCCAGGGGCGTGAAAACCCCATCGGGAACATCTGTGCCCCCCGTAACTGCTCTGCTGCTTCAGGCAGCAGGTTTGGGGATGGACTTCCCACTGTGTTTCCCAGCACCCGCCCTAGCCTGGTCACCTGCTACAGGCAGTGGGCCTGCCGGGCTGCCTCACATCTCCTGAGGCCCCTGTGCTCAGTAGGGAGTGGGGGCGGTGGGGGCAGTGGAGACAGGCGCAGGAGGCCCACTGACTCTGCTTTCTCTCTTGTCTCGAAGGCTCAGCTGTCACAGGCCCTGGAGGAGCTGGGAGGCCAGAAGCAGAGAGCGGACATGGTGAGTCTCTTGGTGGGGGTCTTTGTGGCCACAGAGAGCTCAGGGCGTGGGGTGCTTTAGACTCTGGGAGCGGAGGGAATCATGTCCCTGTCACGCAGGCGCAAGCCTGCGGGTCCCTGATGGTCACAGCGCTTCCCTTCGTCAGAAACGCAGGTGGGGATGGGAAGGGCATGGGGCGTGGGAGCTGGGGCCTGGCCCCCCAGAGAATCTGATATGGGGACCCCAGTGCCCTTTCTCCTCCACATCATGACCTGCCCGACATGGAGCTGGTGTGAAAACCCTCGTGATCCCTGCTTGAAGCCCACGGCCAGGTCGTCCTTTGGTTGTGCCCTGGCTCTGGGCCCATGGTGGCCCTGCCGCACAGGGTGTGTGGACCGAGATGTCTGCCCATCAGGCTCTGTAGCCTGCGTTGCCCTGCTGAGCATCAGGTGTACTCCTTGGCCGTGTGGCCACGTGCCACCTTCTTGGACCACTTCTCCCCCCCTCCCCTGCCCCCGAGCGTGCAGCCTGCAGGCCTGGGTGGGGTGTGCGCAGGCACTGCTGCTGGCCTGGGCGCCCAGCACTGAGAGGCTTCCTTACCACCGTCTGGGGTCAGACAGCTTTGCTTTTAATGTGTCTTTGACCCACACAAGCTGTAGGCCCTTCCTCTTGCTCCAGCCCGTGGTCTGGTCTCTGTGGGGACCCAGCCACCAGGGTCACAGGAGGGCCACAGGGCATGTTTGCAGGTGTTGTGGGGGCAGCTCTGCCCCAGGCCACATGCCAGCCAGTTGGGGTTGGGACGGGCTCAGGGACTCACATTACAGGTCAGGGTTCCTGGTGTGCGGTCATCGCTTGTCAGCCCCTGACCTTGAGTGGGTCATCTGGCCTTCACCTGCAATGTAGGAGTGGCCCACAAGTTGGCATGCCACGTCCTTAGGTTTGTTTCATCCATCGACAGCCGTCCCCACAGCCTCAGATTGTCCAGCTGTGTCTTACTGCCATTGTCGCTGTCAGCCGGAGTGGAGGCGGGGCTGGGGAGACCCGAAACGGGCCCACTCGTGAGGCAGGGGCCTGAGGATGGGATGGGATGAGGCCCAGGTGCCAGCATTGGGGAGCCTCAGGCTGGCTGTGCTCAGAGCCCCTGACCGGCAGGGGTGAGGGAGGGCTGCAGGGGTATGTGGTATGTGGCATTGGCCAGACCGGTTGTGCCAAAGGTAGACGCAGGTTAGGTAGAGTGTGAGTCCAGGGGTCAAGGATGGCAGGGTGGCCTGGGCAGTGTGTGGGGGCGTCCCAGGTGGGATGGGGAGATTGGGGCGGGCAAGCCAGGAGAGAAGCATGGGGGTCTGAGGTGCCGTTGGCTGTTGGGTGCCTGGGCCAGGGGGTGTGAGCTCCCACGTCAAGGCCCTCCAAGCACCTGGCACGTGTCCGCCCTCTGGAGCTGGCGAACGTAGCCAAGAAGGTAGAGCCTGGGGTTCGAGCCCTGTTGGGCTGCTCCAGCACCTGGACATGTGGCCCGGGGAGGGCAGCCCCACTCCCAGGAGCTGGGAGGCAGCCCGCAGCACGGTCCTGATGTCACGCACATGTTCTTCAAGCTGGAAGTCAGCCCGCTGGTCGTTCCCCTGCGGGGGCCCCTGAGGGCATATCCAGTTCCTGAGTGTCTGAGTTCTCTGCAGCGGGCATTCATTGTTGACTGAGGGGGAGCCACTGGGCCTCCATGTAGAGCCTTTGCCCTCATCTGGCGGAGAAAGGGGCTTGGGACCCAGGCAGGGCCTGACGGGGTGCCTGCCTCCGGTGAGCCTGGGGTAGGGAGTTCTGTAAACCATGCGGCCTGGCTCGCGTGTGCGTGCGTAATAACGGGACTGCAGGTGAAGAAACCCGGGGGGAGACCCCGACGTGTGGGTCAACCTGCATCATTCCCTCGGCTTGGACCTGAATGGACATGTGCCTGAGGGCCTTGTGTCCATGCTGTGCACATACAGGCCGGAGGAGTGAGGATGGAGTTGTGCCGAGCACAGGCCCGGTCCTCTTTCCCTGGCTCCTGGGGGTTTGGAAAGGGCAGAAGCTTCCGCGGTGGGACCGCAGGGGCCGCTGCTTCTCCTCGTGGGGATGCCTGAGGGACGTGGGACTGGAGGGTGGCTTTCCCGCCTGTGTTTTTCCTTGTTTTCTGCCCATACAGTTTCTTTTCATTGTGTAAAATTCCCTTGAGCCCTAACATACTGAAGCCCAGTTCCACTTCTAGACCAACTAGACTGGAACTCGTGGGGGTGGGGGAGCCCACTTCTCCCCAGGTGATGCTGGCACCCACCTCCGTGCAGGGGCCCTTCCCTAGGCACTGCCGGGCCTTTGGGGAAGATGCTCCTTGGGGAGCTTTGGTGAAACGGCCCTGTGGCTCTAGCCCCGCAGAGCCGGGCAGGTGGGTGGGGACCCGGCTCGTCCCCCAGCTCATTCCCAGCTGTGCCTGGAGGTGCAGGTGCTTGGTGCACTCAAGTGAGATGCTGTGGGTGCCTTGCTTCCTTAGATCTGGGCTGTAGCTGTCACCTCACACAGGTTTAATCTCTGCCTTCTGATTGTCAGATCTTGAGCTTGTTTCCTGTTTGTTTCTCTTCTCTCTCTCCTTCCCACTTAGCAGCACCCAGCGGAATGCAGCAGGTGCTCACTCAGAGGCCTGTGAGCCTCTGCTCTCCCTCCATCCTCCCCGGGCCGCACCTTCTGCCTCCTGAGGAAATGAGGGCCAGGTGGGCCCCCAGCCGGTGAGGAGGCAGCTCCGGCCTTGCGTAAACCCTAGTTTGCTGTGGGAGCTTTTGAAGGCGCGAGGTCCCTGTGACATGGGGACCGAGCCACCCTGGGTCTTGCTCTGTGGCCCTCACCCTGTTTCGGGGTCAGTCGTGGCGATGGGTGTGATGGGGGGGCACCTCTGTCCAGGTGTTGGGGACGGCCTGATTCCTGTGCACCCTCTGCCAGCCTGCTGTCTCTGGGCCCTAAGCTGATCCACTATTTAGGAAAAGAGTGAAAAAAGAATGTAAATATTTGTAGCTAATTGCAGATGCCAAGACAAAGACAGTTTGCCTTTCTGTTATTAATTATCAGACGCATGCTAATTAGGAAGCAAGGCACAAGTCAGGTTTTTCTCTTTAAATGCAATTAATATCACAAGGACAAATGTCCTGGGCCATAGTTGTGTCATTAACATCCCTCACCCTAATTAGATACAGCCACCGGTGGCTAGAGAAACGTGTTTTTTGATTATAACTATAAAAATCCCTCTAATATTTTATGTACTCCAGGGAGCAAGAAGTGAAGATTTATTTTCCGATTTAAGGGCAGTGACACCCCTTACGGCTCCGGGTAATGACACAGTCTTCCTCCTTGAGTCCCGTGTCCCCTAGGGCTCCTGTGGACTTGTGCTGCCAGCCTGCAGGCCTGTGGCTGGCCGGCTGGGAAGGGCTCTGGCGGGAGAAGTTCTGGCTGCAGGTGCTCCCGGGGTGTGTGTGCTGTGGCCGCATCCCAGCAGGGCAGGGCCTCCACGTGGCCTCTCCCTAGCTGCGGTCCGAGATGACCGGAGATGCTGGTGAGGCCGATTTTAAGCCCTGCGAGGCGTCCCGCACAGCGGCGTGCACCTGGCTGATGCCTCTGTCGCTGTGAAAGCAGCGCCGCAGGCCAGGAAGTGTCGGGAGGAGGCGTGTGAGCTGCCATTGTTCATTGCTGGCAGCCGGCATCCATACGGCCTGCTGCCCGAGAACCTGGCCTGATCGCAGCCCGCCAGCGTTGCCATCCGCCTTCGGGGAAGTTCTTAGGAGAACCTCCTGTTTCTGTGACTGATAGTGACTCATTTCTCGTCCTGGATCCATCCTGCCACGGGACCAAGCCCGGGTTGGAAGACGCCCCCGCCTTGACGGGAGAACTTCGTCTATGGTGGGGGAGTCACAAAGGCTCATGGGGGATGCCACGCAGGGACCCATGCTGGTGGCAGCCTCTTCCCCTGCAGGGTTCTGTGCCCCCAGGATGGTGTCTGACTCTGTTACGTGCTGCTGGAGCCCAGCATGATCCAGGGAGGCGTCAGGGCCCCAGGCGGCAGGCGGGGACAGGGTTCCCCACGAGCTGGGCCCCCGGAGCTGTGGCTGCACGTCTCAGGCTGACCTGGATGGTCTGACCAGTCTGCGTGTGTCCCTGTGCCGGCCCCCGAGCAGGCACTCACCCCCAGCGTCTCATGGGGTCACTGCTTCTGTCCCTCTGTACCAGCGTCTGGCCGTGTGCCTGGCTGTCCTGCTTCCTCGGGGAGCCAGTGTGGGAGACGGGCCTTCCCTGCAGGCAAGTGGGGCTGCTGGCCGGCCGGCGGCCCTTAATCAGCAGCACTAGCGCCTCCACGGCCAAGCGGTGTCCAGCACGGAGTGAGCACTCCAAGTGTAGTGGGGTTGACTTGGGGTGGGCACCTGCAGGCTGGGTTGGTTCTTGAGTGCTGCGAACACCGATGGTGACAGTACGGGTTATGAATGCGCACTCACCCGGCCTGTCGGTGAGCCGGGTGCTGTTCCAAGAGCTCTGGAGACATCCGCTCTCGGCGCCCTGCTAGGTGGCCCTGTCGTCACCCCCCTTACTCATCAGGAGGCAGAGGCCCGGGTCCCAGGGGGTCCCAGCTCCCGTGGCTTTGTTGCCAGCACGCACTTCTGCCTGGGCCTTCAGGACTCCTGACTACGTGGGAGTGTCCCTTGTGTTCCTGACCGCCCTGACCCGTGTGAGCACAGGCTGCGTGCTCACTGCCCCCATCTGTGAAGTGCCAGACGCCCAGAGTTGTGTGTGCCCCCAGAGTGGCTCTGCTGAGTGCTGGCTCCTGGGGATGAGTGCCTGGGGCAGCTCCGTGGGAGCTGGGAAGCCATTTTTAGGGATGGAGGGAGAAGGGCTCAATGAGGCGTATTTAGAAGTTAGCGTCGAGCTGACCTGGGGTACACAGGGCTGCCCCCCAAGAGCAGAGTTCCCGGCAAGTGCCTCAGGGCTGGAGGGCTCTGGGTGCCTGAGGGACGTGG